AGCCATCACTCCCCCCCCCACCCCCCCCACCCCCCAGCCCCCAGATCACTGGGTCAACCAGTGATCACGTCCTCTTGATGACCTCCCCGAACAACTGCTTCACCGCATTGGGTCCTGGGGCCACGGTCAACCTCACAGGAGGTAGTTCCAGAATGTTCTGTGGTCAGAGACAGGGTGAAGGATGCCCTTCCTCCAAAAGATGTGGCCACGTTCCCCAGAGTGACCTGTTCCTGATCCAGGATGGTGGGAGGGACTCTGTAGGTCTTGCCATGTCACCCGTGTCATTCTGGATTCTGGGAGCCCTGAGGGCTATGACAGAATGAGGCCCTGGTCATGGCAGAGACAAAGGAGCCGTTGGAGGAGGCCCCTGCTGCTTCCATAAACATCCCGTCCCTACGGTTACAGTAGGTCAGCAGCCAGCTCCTCACATGCAACACTGCGTGGCCCTGACCCTGCACCAGAGCGATCCTTTCTCTCTACAACCATCCAGAGTCCTGGGTGTCCACAGATTCCACATGGTGATCTTCCTGTGCCTTCAACACCCTTCTTCCCGTCACCATATGTAACAGCAGTAGCACGAAGGAGCTAGCCTCTCCCGGGCCCGCCACACCGAGTAGCTAATTGCAATCTGTAGAACCGGTCTCTGGGTCCTCGCTGAAATGTTCTCATGACCCCCCGCTGGGGGCACTGACTCTGGTCTGGGAATCGCTCGTTGAGATGAATGAATGGAAGTGTACTTCTCATGGTGATATTTACCCACCCGCTAAAAATGGGGTGGTGGGATATGCAGCATCATTCTGCCTCTCAACAGGGATCGACGGCTCACCCTCTGGAAATATGGGGTGCCCCTTCCTGGAACTTCTCTCTGCTGTTCTGCACCAGGAACATGTGGCATCCCCTGACACCACAGTCACAAAAGAGACAAGCTTCCCCTGCTCTGGGAGGGGTCTTTGGGGAGAGGTCGGGAGGGACAGTGATTACTCTAGACATGGGGAATCTCAGATGAGTACCAGATATCACAGCTTGGGTCTCCTGGGCAGCAGACCCTGACGTGGAAATGGGCATGTAGGAAATTTATTAAGGAGT